AACGGCGTCCGCGGCCTCTGCGCCCGGCGCCCCAGCACCCTCAAACGCATCGGGCGGCGGCAGCAAGGGCTCTGGAAGTGGGGCCCCCAAGAAGGCGAGCTCGGGGCTGCGTCGGCCAGAGAAGCCGCCCTACTCGTACATCGCGCTCATCGTCATGGCCATCCAGAGCTCGCCCAGCAAGCGCCTGACGCTCAGTGAGATCTACCAGTTCCTGCAAGCACGCTTCCCCTTCTTCCGCGGCGCCTACCAGGGCTGGAAGAACTCGGTGCGCCACAACCTCTCACTCAACGAGTGCTTCATCAAGTTGCCCAAGGGCCTCGGGAGGCCTGGCAAGGGCCACTACTGGACCATCGACCCGGCCAGTGAGTTCATGTTCGAGGAGGGCTCGTTCCGTCGCCGGCCGCGCGGCTTCAGGAGGAAGTGCCAGGCGCTCAAGCCCATGTACCACCGTGTGGTGGGCGGCCTAGGCTTCGGGGCCTCGCTGCTGCCCCAGGGCTTCGACTTCCAGGCGCCCCCGGCTGCGCCGCTCGGCTGTCACGGCCAGGGCGGCTACGGAGGCCTGGACATGATGCCCGCGGGCTATGACACCAGCGCGGGCGCCCCGGGCCACGCGCATCCGCATCACCACCACCATCACCACGTCCCGCACATGTCGCCCAACCCGGGCTCCACCTATATGGCCAGTTGCCCTGTGCCCGCGGGGCCTGGGGGCGTCGGCGCGGCTGGGGGCGGGGGCGGCGGCGGGGACTACGGGCCGGACAGCAGCAGCAGCCCGGTGCCCTCGTCCCCGGCCCTGGCGAGCGCCATCGAGTGCCACTCGCCTTACACGAGCTCTGCAGCGCACTGGAGCTCGCCGGGTGCTTCTCCTTACCTCAAGCAGCCGCCCGCCCTGACGCCGAGCAGCAACTCTGCGGCCTCCGCGGGCCTGCACTCCAGCATGTCCTCTTACTCGCTGGAGCCGAGCTACCTGCACCAGAACACCCGCGAGGACCTCTCAGGTACGCACACATTGTCCCTCGGGGGCGACTGGAAACGCCCGCCGGCAGATCCAAAGCCCGGTTGTTTATACTACACTGGGCTGTAGCGGCTTGATGTTGAGGGCCTTGAGGGAGGGGCAGGTGCCTGCTCTGGGTCCTGCATTGGGAGGGGATGGGGCCTTGTGGTGCCCTACAACACCTGGAAGCGTATGCGCCAGCCTTGATGGAAGCCCGGTGTGTAACTGTCAACTTTGAGTTTTGGGGACTCGGGTGTCAGGTCAGGAACGTGGAGTTCAAGGTGCCTTAGTCTTTTGAGAAAGTGCTGTGGCCTTTGGAGATGCTGGCCAAGAACCTTTGCCTATTTAAACTTTTTTTTCCCCTCTCAAAGTTTGCTTTTAACTGTCTACAAGCAAATGCCAAGAGGAGTTACTGTGGGAGTGGGAGTGGAGTGTGAATGGGAAAGGAGAAGAGAAATGATCAAATGAGAGAGTGAGAGAGGGGAGGAGTGGAAGCGGGCTGAGTGCCCTGCTCTTTGGGGAGATGGAGAAATTACTAGTGAGCAGGGCACCCCGCTGCTGAGAATGCCGCTCACTCTCTGGACCCGCGCTGGCAACATTTGGGTCTATCAGGGGCTAGCAGCACCGGGGCTGTGCTTGGACCCAAACTCCCATAAATGTCTGCCCCTTAAAAGGCCCTGGTGGTTCGATAGTTTAAACTGTGTCAGGAGCAGGTTATGAAAATTTATTGACCTGCTAAAGGCAATGAAAGAGATGAACAGGGAGTGACGGAGGAAATGCGCCCGCTTATCCACGGCTAAGCAGAGATAAACCCTCACTGGCAAACCTTCCTGGCCACCATGTCGTGGAACAGACACAAGACGCCCTCACCTGTGTCCTCATTACGTTCTCACACAGCGATCGATGGATGCACGTATTATGCACACGTGTGTTCAGAGCCCCGGGAGCCTGAGGCAGAAGAGAGGCCCAGAAATGGGCAAAAGATGTCAGTTCCCTGGACGGTGAAATTTCCCAAATAGGCCTTTTAAATGCAGGTCTCAGAGGTTAACTAAACAAGACGTCTCGGCAGGACCACACCGGAGAGGATTTTTTAGCCTGGCTTAACCCACTGAGAGTAGAGTCTTGTTCAGTTTTATGGGAAGTTCAACAAATAACCAATGCAGGCGACCCTCCCCGCTCATTTCTTTAATCCCCATAGAGAGCTGTCAATCAGTGCTCCCGCCCAACTTCACCTTCGGGCAGCCCCCCTCGTGAAGCCGACCTTGGGCAGCTGGGGCAGCCAGCGCGCAGTATCCCGGGCAGAGAAAGGGCGCAGAGTCCTGACCTTCCTGAGGCCTTCCTCGCCACCCTTTTAGCAGTCATTCAGACCAGCTGCTGGAAACACAACCTTCCAGAAAACCCACAACTTGCGCCTGAGCTCGGAGAAAGTCTAGGCGAGGGGCCGCCCTCCTCACCTCGGCTTGCCTCGGGAGGGGAGCCGGACTGGGACGAAAAGGAGATCGGGCTGCGCTGCTGCCCTCGCACTCCCGCTTCCCACTCCAAAGTAGTCTCCTTTTGAGCCCCCGAGAGGCTTCTTTCCCGTCTGGCCGTGGTTCACCGCGGCAGGAAGCTGGGGGCCCCCACTGGGTTTCAGAGCAGAGCTAGGAGTTCAGAGCGACCCTGCAGGGTGCAGGAGGCCCGCACTCCCAGTCGCATGGGCCTTGGGCGATAGACAGTGACCTTCCACTGGCCTGGCGGTGAGTGTGCTATTTCAGCAGCCTGCAAGCCACAGTTTGAAAGTTCAGGTGGTCGCCAGAATATTCTGGAGAGCGCTGGATGAGCCAGTACATTTACAGTGACAGGCGCGAGGCTAGACACCTTTATCAGAGCAGGGCAGAGCAGCGCTCCAGGAGGATGGGTTTATCGGTCAGTATACACAGACCACATCATCAGCCACTTGGCAGCCCGTTCTTCTCCAGCTAGGGCAGGGCCAGGGCCAGACCGGGCGTCTTCAAAGCAGCGAGCGGGTAGCTGGGGCCTCCTCTCAAAGGTCCTCCCAAGGACCCCCAGGCGCAACATGGCCAGCGGTGAAGGTGAATGTACCGGCATCAGCCACAGACCACGCCAGTTTATAGTGTAGGTCGGAGGGAAGGGGTCTCACTGGTCTGAGGGGCCTAGGGTCACAACGTCCAGATCCTTGGACCCAGAGCTGCGCCTGCCGGAGCCTGATGGACCCTAAGGGACGCCATCCCAGGGCTGGAAAGTGCAAGGAAAGCAAAAGTAAAAGTTTCGGGCTGGGGGGGGGGGGCACGCGGCCTAGCTAGAAAAGCCTTCCTCTCAATTCTCTGATCAGCCCTGCGCTGCTGCAGACCTCAGCTCTAAGAAAGTTTTCTGCCAGGCTCTGCTCCCTGAAGGCCTGACCTCCCTGCATGGAGCCTCAGACCTTTTCGAAGCATCACCACTGCCTTGTGGATGGGAAGAGAGGCAACACTTTCTTTTCTGTCCCTTTCTTCACAGATTGCGTTTTCCATTATCTTCCACTGGCACAGGAAATTCCCCTGCTGGGCCCACTCCTTTGGCCATGCTGGTGTGCAGGAAAACTAGGCTGGCCAAAGAGCAGAAGGAAGGCAGTGGGGAGTTTTCAGACAGGGCGCTTGGCCTTCGCTGTGGCCCGGGACTAAGGCAGCTGGGCACTGGACTTCAAGGTCAGGTGGGACCCTACGCCTGGGTCAGAATGTCGCCAGGCTAACCTCCGTCAGGGAACATGTGCTGCCCACTCTTAACAACTTGCCTTAGAGGGCAACTTGCTCCATATCAGTGTGTGCAGTGAGATAAAAGAGCAGAAATGATCCAGAGCATCTCCCAAGGCTACAGCCTGAAATTTCAAGCCCCTTCTAAAGCACCAAATTTATAGAAATAATGTTTTAAAAAGACAACCCAGCCCTCCCCTCCCTCTGTTCTGACAGCTAAAGAGAAATTTAAAAATCATTTACCAGGTTGATAGTTGGATGGATCTGTTTCTGAAAAGAGGTGTGTTTTTTTTTCCTCCCTTTCCTCTTTCAGTGGGACTGCCTCGATACCAGCACCACTCGACACCCGTGTGTGACAGAAAAGACTTCGTCCTCAATTTTAATGGCATTTCTTCTTTCCACCCCTCAGCTAGTGGGTCATATTATCACCACCACCACCATCAGAGTGTCTGTCAGGACATTAAGCCCTGTGTCATGTGAAAGGACAGCAACACTGCATTGCCGGTCCTCTGTTCATGGGGTCAGGCACAGGCCCTGGTGGATTCACAGGTCAACATTATGTGCACGCAGATAGTGAGTAGCTGGTCACTTAGTCCCCAGTATGCAGGAGAGATTGTTAACTTGTGTTTTCTGTTGGCGCTGGAAGGACAACCTTAAGCAAAGTGATGCTGGAAATACGCACAGCTCCCACACCAAGTGTGCCAAAGGGGTGATGATGGGAACAAAGAACTCAGTGAAAAAGACAGAGCAAGCCACCCTGGGACCTCTCCACTGCCTTCAGTAACCATGGTCTGACCAGAGCAGACAAGTTGTAGGTTTTGTTTTGTCTATGAAAACTTGTATGCTTTTTTTTTCTTAAAAAAGGAAGGTGCTAAGCACAAGATTTCAAGAAATCCTCATCTTGTAGCCTAGCTGAAGTTTTACCCAACACGACTTTTGGATGAAGGTGCCAAAGAACATTATTAAGAGAGTATTTAGAAATAACGTACCTAGTTTAAGAAAATGATTGCCGTTTTGTGACAATACAACATTTTTATGAGGTTGTTTTCTACCACCATATTTTAAAGATATGTTTTATGATCTTCATGTATACTCACACTCTTGCTTGTAGCGTAAACAAAGGATATATTTGCACTTATGTATACTTTTACAGTTTGCCAAGATATTTTGATGTACAATTTTTTTTCAATAAAATGTATATAACAAATAGTTGTTGAGGAGTGTTTTCCTGTGCAACCATTCTGGATGACCCAGCCACTTCTCCCTGAGCCAGGAAAGCAGTTCTACATTTCTTCCCTCCATGGTGCCCTGAAAGTGGTGTAGGGTCTTTGCGGCAAATTCACAGGACACATTCTGACTGTGGGTCTTCTGCAGATAGGTAGGAAGAGAGGAAGAAATGTTGCCTATTATTCCTTTTGTCCATTTTCCCAACTAAAAAAAAACCAGAAAGTGAAAGGACCTTAAAAGAAAACCAGGCAAGACACTGAAATCAAGCTTGATATGAGAAATCCAAGTTTTGTTTTGTCTCTTGTGCCCAAGAAAGATGTTTGTCCCTTGCTCTTTCCTCTTTTCAATCTCCTGGACTGGATGAGATGGGAAAGTGACTGCACAGGATGAGGGCAGTTGGACCAACCGTGCTCACGAAACAAGGGGTGATTGAACCCACCTTATAGAGGCCACGGTGGAGGAAATGCTTACTAAGCTGAGGGAGGGGGCCTTTTGGATCCATCTAGAGGACTCCTTGGAGGAAGATCTCTAAGCTAGTTGCCTTCGGAGCAAGGACTTCTTCAGTGATCTGCCCTGCTCAGCTGCCTACACCAGCCTCCCTCTTCTCCACAGCCCCCTCTGCCCCTGGAGAAAGAGGGGGTCTAACCTGTTTTTGTCCTTTCAGCAAGATACTAGAAAATATCTTTCTCTCACACTCCATTTCGCTTTCTTGCTGGACTTCTCAAGACACAAAGCCATGGGTGCCAAGAAGTTAGAGAGGGCTTGAGAGAAAACTGAAGCTGGTTAGGAAGGTGCCTGGCTCTTCTGCCCAGCCCTTACACTCCAGACAGACAGGCAGCTCTCCCACCTTTGTGCAAGCGAACAAGTTCTCAGTCTCTTCATGTGGAAGACATTTTACTTTTGCAACACCAACTGCCTAATTTTATATTGTGTTTTATTCATTTTCTGTGAGTAGAAAACTCACCTTTGCATCTCCTTGCCTGAAACAATCTTTCGACCCATCAATTACTGTACACTCGATTCCACTCAGTAGATAGCCTTTGCATATGGGTTTTTGTGTTACAATGGAATTAAAATTTCATTTACAGTCACATTTATAAAACATTCAGTTTCAAAAAATCTCAATCATCTCCCTAACCTGTAGGATTCCTTCCTATATTTTGCAAAGTTAAGTAATGCTTTAAACATATTTTTCTATCTCTATTATCATATTTGCAGTTAAACAGAGTGCCCCGCCCCCCTAAACTGAGCTCCTCTGAGCCTGCTATAAATTATAAAGTCAGCTTCAGCGTTTGCTCCGACCACAGTGCTGTGTTTACATTCCTTCCAAGGCAGCCTGCATGGTCGTAATTTATATCCTAAACACTTGAACGTAACTTGTTTATACAGAGAATGACAAGACCTCAAAGAAAAACTGCAAGTCGGACCGACCACATCCAAAAGGTTGGTGCGCCACCGCGTGGAAAGAGGAGGCTTCATCTGGTAACTAAAGTTTCATGCTAGCTCTACAAGATCGAAAGCAAGAACTTAAGAAAGAAAATGTGATGCTTTTTCCAGCAAATACTTAGAATTTTTACTCTTGTGAGTTATACTTTATGCTTTTGTTACTATAGTTAGGTGCCATTGAGACAACTGCAAGCCAGTGAACGTCAGATCTGAATTTTGCCTTATCCTGGACCATCCCCGCAATCCCTGATGTGCAGGAGCCCATTGTTACAGTCACTGTGTTAATCCATCTTGTTGGGGATGTTCTGTTCTTTCTCTGACCCTCTACCTTTCCCAGTACGATATATTTTTCCAAGTTCTGGCCCTTCCTGACAACATGCCCAAAAGGTGCGAAATGGAGATGATGAATCATTAAATCATGAACTTAAGTCTGCACTCTCAGTTCTCCTTGGTCATTATGCCCTTGTTATGTGCCTTCAAGTTTATTATGACTCATAACAATCCAATGAGCAACAGATCAGAACTTTGTTCTGTCTTACACCAACCTTACAATCTCCATCATGCTCAAGCCATCACCACTGTCACTATGTCACCATTGCCTTTTCCAAGGGCTGGCCCATCCTGACAACATGCCCAGACTATGTGAGATGAAATCTCACCATCCTTGTCTGTAGGGGCACTATGCACTGCCTCGAGGCAGACTTATTTGTTTTTCTTGGCAGTTCAAGGAATATTCGGTATTCCTCTCCAACACCACAATTCAAAGGCATCAGTCCTTCTCAGTGTTGGTTTGGTTTTTTTTTAATATTTTATACTGATTTACATACAAAGTTCATAAAGTTCATATACATTGTTTTTCACACCAGAGAGTCCTCCGTTCCTTAATCCTCTTTGTGTGAGCACACACACATGCACACACACTTACAGTTTCTCTCCTCTTTTTCTTCTGTTTGGAGAAACATGCAATATTTGGCTTTATATGGTGCTCAAATGTTATCAATTAATTATAAAGCAAGTGCTGCACTCTATTTCCCTTGTTCTCCTATCAGTTCCAACCAAAAGTAACTCTATACTATCAAGAAGAATTAGCTTTTGCGGCAGCTGTCTGACATTTCTTTCTTCTATAGAGGAGGCAGTGGTTCAAATCAACAACCTTTCAATTAACAATGTACCTTTACAATCCCAGCGGTTCACCGTTAGAATCCAGCAGATGCAGATGCTCTGCTGGAGAAGGGGGGGCTATCTCCTCCTGTACCAGACAGATCTGATTTGACTGTACACACACACACAAAATAATAAAATAAAATAAATTTAAAAAAAAAACCAAAACAACAAAAACACAATGTACCT